CCTGATCCTGCTGTGAAGCTCCAGGGGAAGTCTCGAACATGCACAATCACACAACTTGTCTGCACAACATATAGCTCATGCTAGTTCAGGCGCTTCCCATTTCCAAACCCTATGAGCCTCACTTCGCTACGCCGTCTGGCTCCTTGGCATGGTTGGCGGCTCCACCTCATCCACCACCAAGGGGCCGAAGGGACTGCGTGCCTGGATGGCGGCATGGTGGCGCTGGCCGTAGGTCCCGAGGCCCCAGCGGGGTGCTTCGAAGGTCTCAATGGGATAGTCTGGGAAGAACTTCAACTCCACCACCTGCCACCAACGAACTCCCGACTCCGTTTTCGACTGCGACCATCAACGCTCTCGACTCCGTTTCGACTGCGACCATCAACGGTCTTTTTGGGGGGAATGTTCCCCAAAAGTTGTCGGATGACAGGATCAAAGGTCATCATGGGCACCGCCTATATCTCATCAACTCGAAGAAACATGAAACGGGTTAGTCAACAAGCTTCATATTCACCAAGATAATGATACTGTCCATAATAATATCGTGCAATGTTATAAGTTATAATATATAAAACATCATAAACACCTGCGACTTTCGGTGCAGCCCGCCTCCACCTGGCTTTGCCACCTCACCACTTTGGTGAGCTTCTGCGGCCGGCAGCCACAAAAGACATGCATGTCTCTTCTCAGCTGCCCAGCTTCAGCCTCCTTTGGAAATGAACTACCTTCAACCTTCACTGCCACTCGATGATCTGCAGTGATGCTCAGCACGGCTTGTGCTGTGTGTAGGGTCACGAGCTCACGCATCGCACGGCCGTGCTCCACCTTTGACATCACCCGCAGCTTTTGCCCTGAGATGCCGAGAACTTCAGAATCTACCCGTAGATTCTTTGCCTTGATGTATTGCTCGAACTCCGTCTGAAACAATGTGTCGCGCAAGTAGCATGCGGGTGTCGGTGACACGTGAACCACAACTTCCCAGTCATCACCGCTGCTGTTGTTGTTGCTGCCGCTGCTTTGCAAAGACATGCTTGAAACCTCACGTTGAATGAGCTGCAATGCTGGAGACAATGTCCGTGCGGGAGCTGGCTGCAGGACTGTCAATCCCTGGGGGTGGGCTCCGGGAGTCCTTCTGCTCCTGGAAGGGGCAGGCCTCTGAGGAAACGACCCCTCGACAAGCTTCTTAGAACGTCTGTAGACCATGTAGCCTACAAAGGCTGCAGCTGCAAGAACTGGGATTCCGATGACAATGCCCACGATCACACTGCCTTCTGTCACCTGCTCAATCTTGATGTGCCGCTTTGTGCCCGGAATCTTTTTTGCATCCAAACCCAGAGACTTCAGAATGACACACTTCAAGTCGTCCTCGTACTTCTGAGGGTCCGCTGTGTACTTTTCAAAGTCATGATCAATTTTGATGCGAAATCTGATATCGCCTGGCTCCAAACCCGCCAAGCTAGTCTCGCTCAGAGTAGCCGATCGTGTCTTACCTTTGATGCTGTAACTGCCAATGCATTGACAATGTTTGACTGGGAGCATCTTCGGAAGCTCCTGTGCCAGGTGCTGCTCCAATTCGGATGAGTCCATGACTGGAATTCCATTGTCCAAAAGAAATGCTGGCACTTGCGTCTTGTGAATGCGGACAGTTGTGCCCTCCACCCTGCTTTCGTAGACTTGTTTCACATTCAGGATGGGGTTCTGGTTGCTGTTGTTCGGACCGCAAACCCAACAAGCTGGACAGCGCAGGCACAGCAAGAACGGGAATTCCACACATGGAAGACCTTTTGAGCCAGCCCGCATCCTCTGCAGCCAGAGCTTGCTGATACAACCAGTCAAACTTTTGCGCAGCTCCCAATGGATCAGGAACATCTCCCTGGGCTAGGTGCCGTCCATAAACAAAGCCACCGCATGCAGCCAAAGCGATGGGATTGTGCATCGTCAAGCTGACCTTGGTGGCAGTGAGAGCAAACCCAGCATCAGAAACGAGACTGCTTTCAGCAGTCTGCGATGCTTCGCTTGGAGCACTCTGCTGCGAGAAGGACTGACCCATGTCGCCCAAAGAAATCGTCTTTCTCGGGTGGCCCTTGAGCTCGGCTGGTGCTGCTGGACTCGGCGTAGCAAAGACAACTTGTTGACAAGTATCCCTACAACTCCACCTAAGAAGTCATTTCAAGAGAAAGACGGAAGAGGAAACACGCGCTACGGAACAACAGCACTGATTTCAACTGGAAAGCGCATCACGATGCTTCAATTTTTGAGGTCTGCAGTCAACAAAAGAATAGTAAAGGCCGAAGACAAACGATTACTCCATGTCTTACTCCAGTTCCAATTGAACGTGATCTTTCGCTTTGAACCTGCCTGGCTGTCCGGAGGGCCTGACAGCGCGGGGCCGCGGGGCCAAACACATTCGGCAACGCGGCAACGACCTCACCGACCACCATGATATACTGGGGCCAATGTCCAAAAACCATCAAAGACCTGGGTCTAGTGATTCCTACTTCCATGCACAAACCTGATAAAGATCCTCTATATGAATAGACTAGTTGTCCTCACATCTCGAATCTCTTCGCTTGAACTGTCCGAAACATGGAAGTCCTGAGAATTGCTGGGGATTCTTTTGCTCTCCCTCTGTGATGCCCAAGCCAGCTTGAGCGACGATCAGGGAATCCAAGAATGTGGAGCACACAGTGACAAACAACTTCCCAAATCTTGCGACAAATCATGCAACCATATGCAACCCTAATTCTTTCATCTTCTTTCCATGATTCCCATACAGATTTGGGGCAGCGGATGTCCGAAACCATCCTCCCATGTTCGCAGAATCTCCAACTCTGCGTCCCGCGACCATCCCGCCTCAGCCGAAGACCCGCCGATCATGCGGAGCATGGGCGGCTATTGCATGAGTATACTGTGTGCTACATCAACTATTGAATTGAACCACGGTGGGCCGACTTACACACCCAACCCTGCTCCCCCAATGCATGAAAACTGTTGTGCACTTGTGGTGCTTGTCGCTTGCAACCCAATCGGTCCAAGGTGGTGGAATCCAAAGGCATTTCTGGGCTCAGTGGATCTCCAAAGGCAGTAAGCGCCAAGCATTTGAGATTGGCCAAGCTTACGTTGGTGTGCATGAGCGTCTCAAACATCTATAGAAGCGAACTAAACCTTGAGCGCGGAAGGGAAGGAGAACGCACGTACGCCAAGCCAAGCCACCACCAAGCGGTTTCTGTGGATGGATTTGTTTTTTTTGCCGGTCATTCGGTCCTCGCGCAGTTCCGTCATAGCAACGACATCTAGATTGCTTGTCAAGCTAGTTTCGGTGGCATGGTGATGCATGGTGCCTACACCATGGTTTTCGGTTGTTGCTTGGCATTGATGTATACATCGTGCCTTTCGTTTCCTATGTCGTTCAGCCATTCAACCTGCTGTGCCCTGTGGGAGCCCCGCTTTTTCGCATGCAATCCCCGGGCCCCAAAAACGCACAAGGGAAAACACTTGCTGTCTCGGACGTCAGACCGTCGGACCGTCTCACAGGTGGTTCCGCAAGCCGAGGTAGGTCGAGTGTTCTTGGAAAGCTCGTTGTAGCTTTTGGAGGAGTCAGGGGCTTTGGATGGCTTTATATATAAAGATCGGCATGTCCGACATGTCCATCACTTCCTGAATAAGTGAAACCTGGCGACAACTTACACAAAAGCTTAGAGCTTCAATATGCTTCAATATCGAAGGGTGGGTCCCACACTTGGCAGATTTTGCGAGTTTTTGGCTCAGGAAACCAACAGATCCGAACAGTCTATACGAAGCTTTTAGAGGCTAGCTAGCGGCTAAAGTTGTTCCAAAGGGTCCTCTTTGATTCTGGGATTTCTGGGTCAAGTCGAGCACTTGCAAGCACATGCATCAAAAACAATCCAAAGACCGGTATTGGTAAGACGAACCATGCCCAAACCCATGGAAAAAGTTGTGGTCTCAATCTTTCACTGAAACTTTCACTGCATCTTTGTGGTGGGTTTTGTTCCGCATTATCTACCGCCTATCACCCTGCACTGGCAAGTTTTTGCGCGCCTCAAGTTTTCCCAGGACTATGTTTTTTGCACCTGTGGGTATATTGCCTTCGGATCCGTTGTATGCCCCTCTTTAACCGCCCCAAAACTGGGTAGCCGCTGATCTTGTGGGTCCCCAAGCTCCCAAACCAAAAGCCACCTCACCTTCGTCGAAGTAACATCCTTTTTCAACGCCTCCAGCGGTCGTTTAGTTGAGCTGTTCCGCCCCGGATGAAGTACTGAAAATTGCTCAAAAAAGAGCAAGCCACTGGGGAGTGGAGTGCAAATCCATGCCGAGCAAGACCTGCCTAAAAACCACGAGACCTTGGCCCAAACTGTGAGACCTCGCCCTCCAGCGCATGTTGTGCGACCTCATTCCTCCATTCAACGCCAATGGATTCACCAACCTACCACCTACATCCACCTACCAGATCGATGCCCGCCGCCCTGCGGCGAGTCTTGGTTGGTCACAACGGGGTCTCGTCGGTCAAAACGAAGGGTCTCCGAGTCGCGAAAGAATGCGAGAGCTTTGAGGTATGGAGTGTCTCATGGACTGTCTCTGCACTGAAGCTGTTTCACTTGGACTGCTTCGGAATGAACTGGCTCAACGGGCCCACAACGCTCCAGGGTTTGTGGAGTTCGTCAGGATGGCACAGCACATGCTGCTAAAGCTACTAGTACAAGCTGCTGGCCCTCATTCACGACCTGTTTCACCAACTCTGCACTACTTTTGGTAGATCTCTCATCTGACAGGGGAGTATATCACATGCATCGCAAGGCTGGGACTAAGCTCCCAAACACCGACCCATCGCCAACATCCATTTGGCATCTGGCATCATCTGGCCGCCGCAGCGAATTTTAACATCTGACTGTTCGGCTATGTTACTGCCCATGTTGCACAAGAAGGAGGTCAGTGAGGCAATCAACTTTTTGATATCTCAACAGGCTCGATGAAACAAGCTTTCTCTTCTGCTCCAAACCTATTGTCCCGCCAAGGTTGAAACAGAACTGGTTGTGACGCTGGTCACTATGGACCTGCAAGGTACCATTCTAGAGTTTCTGCAACTAAAGGTCAAGGGACCTGCCATGTCAAGCACGAAAACACCATCATTGATGAGTCATGAGAACATGAGGAGCTTAGAAGGCCCGCCGGCCTGAGTGCTTGAGTCTACCCCCGCATGAATCTAGCACGTGGTCATAGCCATTTGGCTCCTTCAACCACAGATGTTCCTCCGCCTAACAAGCTAGGAACATGAGCATCTGTGAGAGATTTATTCAAAGACCCCGTGCTGCCGCCTGCACCCTTCGGCACTGTGGTAGAGTCTGAACCTTCTAAACAGGTGAAGCTCTCACTCGCAGAACTGGGCTGGTCCGCACAATTTCTCACATCCGTGTTTCGCTCGATGTCATTCGAAGGAGGGATGAAGGGTGGCGCTTCATTCGGCTTGCGCGAATCTGCCGCATCGCTCTTTCAGTTCACATGCACGGGTGCATGAGGAGCTGCAAGCTGAAACTAACCATTCCTTTAGATACCTAAATCATCCTAAATCCTATTCACTCCACACTGAAGAATTCCACCAGGCCTTGTGTCTGCTTGGACCTGCAAATGGTGTGACCTCTTGTGCCAAAGACATTGATTCTATTTATTTGGCATGAGCGACCTGGAAAGCTTGGTGTTTTCATGGTCTGCAGCTGTTGTCTCAAACATCTGCTTTTAAGACTTGCTAGCTATCGAGGGCAGCTCCGGACATTGAGGAACACCACACATTGGATTCAGCAGTGTGAAAAGGAGTGTGAAACGAATGTCTGCCGCCACCGGCTTGTGCCATGCCTGGTGCTCGCGTCATATTTTTATGGCTGACGTTACTGGTGTTGCTGGTGCTCAGTGAGCTCCTAAATGTCATAGAGCTCCTCAGCCGAGTCAATCCGATGAGCCCTGGCCGTGGCAAGTTCCGATTGCTTGCTCCTGCCCCTCTTGCAAACTCAATTGCAAAGTTAATTTCTTCTATATAATCTATTGCGGCTACAGACATTTGTCTCAGGCAAGTGCAGTTAAAGTTAGTTATATAATCTATTATAATCTAGCAAGCTGTGGCAGAACTACTGGGCCTGCGGCGTTGTTGAGTGGTGGAAAAAGCAGGACATTGGTGGAAAAGCGGCCGCATTCGTCTGGGATGTGCTTACAGCCGTGGTGATGCAAGTGCCCTCTCAATTAAGAGCCTCTTTGTTGCTCATGGTCACACTTAGAGGGCGTGTATCGACTATCTGGAAAGCCCAGCAGGGCCAAGCAGGTGTCTCCCTCATACCCATACCAGATGGTTTAGGTCTGTTTGAGTAGGTCACTTGGTGGGAAGCTCGCAGGATCTGAAGACACCTCCGGAAACCAGCCTTTCCGGACGTTCGGGGGATGGGCATGGGATCGGAAACAGAATCCTAATCCTTAGGCCACAGAAGCCCTGAGGGTCTCACCCTGCAAGTCCACCTACTTGGACCTCTCTAAGCTTCTTGGTGCCGAATCTCCGATCGGAATCTCCTCCGATCGAACCGGCAAAAGCTTCCACCCCTCTTGGCAGTAGAAAAATCGCTAGAAAACCCAGGAGCTTGGGAACAGCAGGTCCCAAGCTAAAAGGTCTCATCAACGGGCTTAATTGGGATACTTGGAAGACTACTTGGAAGGTATTAGGGGGGATTATCGGGATTATTAGGGGGTTGGGTTTCAAAGCTCTGACATCCACCAACAGCTCACTGGGTCATGAGTTGGAGTCTGCCTCTTCGCCTTGGCGAAGCGGGCGGTGCACCTACTGGACCACGCCTGTGACTGTGCCAAAGCTG